GTTCAGCCCGTCTTTATTCCCTCTGTTTGGTCCATTGTAGTGGCACCTCGGGTGCAGATCTTTCTCTGGCTCCTCTCACATAATATATTAACGACTAGGCACAATCTTGAAAAGAGGAAAATAAACAAGCCTTTAGATTGTGTTTTCTGTTCTGAACAAGAGACTAGCTTTCACCTCTTTTTTTGATTGTGTGATGGCCAAAGAGTTTGGGAATTACTCCCATCTTTCTTTGGGAAACCTCCAGGTGCTGATTACTTGTCGATTGCCAGATATTGGCCTGCCAATAAGAACCATACTGTACTTAATTCTTCCTGTGCTTGTGCTCTGTGGTGTATTTGGAAAACTAGAAATCCTCACATTTTGAACAATGCATTATGGTCTGATATTAAACAAGTTTGGTGGCTGATAATGATTACTCTAAAAAAGTGGCAAATTATGCTCAAGGAGGATCACCTAGAGAGAGTGAGTGCATTCTCACAGATGATCTCCAATCATGTGAATCAACCGCACCAGCTGTCGGTGTGTTAATAGGTTGTGATCTGATAGCTGGAGGTGAGATGACCAACCTGTCCAACTCTAACAGTCTCTGGCGTGCTCTGCACCATCCTGGCACTGATGCTGCTTCCCCGCCTCACTCCAAGCTACACTGGGAACTAAAGTTGCCCACTCTCAGCACAAGTACACTACTGGAGATAATGACTCCCCATTGCAATCTCCTATGAAGAGTACCAAGGTGGTGTTCGCCAACATCTCCACTGTGAAGCTGGGAGGCGATTATGATCTGGGTTTGCTGTGAGTTTTGGAGGAGAGCATGTTTGCCACAAAAATCTGTTTCTGCTTTTGTTTGATGTAATGGTGTAATGGAGCATGTCTCTTCAGCTTTCAATTTCCCCTGGTTTGTTTCGATGATCTTATAACTTTGTATACTCTGTACTCTGGTTTCATTTTTTTTAATGGAACTGGGGTTCTTTTGCCCTCCTGGTGATCTAAAAAAAAAGAGCAGATAGAGCCTTGGATCTGCGTTCTGACAGTCCAAACGATTTCGGTTCAGGTTCTACTAGAAAAGAAAGCAAGCAATCACCACACTACAGTTGGATCCTGGAAAGGAGAGACTATTCTCTCGGTTCCTCTGGCTGCATCCTGATCCAAACAATTCTGACCAAGTTCAGAACTTCAACAAATCACCATACTAAGAAATCCTGCAAAAGAGAAACTAATATCTCTGTTCCTTGACCAAAATAATTGTTGACCAGGCCATGGGGCTGAATTCACTAAGCAAGGCCCAAGAATCTAGACGCCCTACACCTACAGCGCCACTGTCAGATCAGCGAGACCAGACCACGCAGCAACCACACCCAAATCCAAAGGTCGCAGTTCATCGGCGCAGGCAGGCAGGCAGCGGATCGACGCGGATCGAGGGGTGAGGGGAGAAGGGAGAGGGGCCTTACGGGCAGTAGGACTTGGAGAAGATGACGACGTCGTGGGCCTTGACGGTGGACTTGACGAAGGCCGTCTTGGACGCCGAGGCGGATCCGAAGGCCGCGAGCGCGATGAACGCGGCGGCCGCCGCCGCCACGCCGAAGCGCCGGAACGTCGTCGACGCCATCTGGCTCCGCCGCCGGCGAGGTCGAGGTCGAGGTCGAAGCGCGGGGTGTAGAAGCCCGGAGACGGCGGGGTTCGTTTGGGGTCTGACGAGTCTTCTTCCCGGCGTGTGGACGCCTTTGCTATAGGCTCTGCGGTTACGGAGTCAGGGAGTACGCCTTCTCGTTTGGGTTGTGTAAATCCAGCCAAATACGACTTCGATGGTTTCTTCTCTCTCTTCTTTTCCATCTGCCAGGCATGTATAGCTATCGCCTATCGGTAATCAGTGACGACCGACCAAAGATGATGGGTCAGTGGTACCAACAAAAATTGCATTTGTCGCCGCGACTTCCTCTTGTAAGCGTCTTGTATTTTCTTTACAGAGGGAATAGATTTCTCGAACACCAACGGCGACTCAGAGGACAATGAGGACAGGATCATGGCGTGGTTCTGAGGTTGGCACGTCGCTTCTGATCGATCGATCTTGGCCGCCCACTATGTTGACATTCGTTTTTATTTACTTTGCATATTAGTTTTGTTTCGGGTCAAACTTTCTAAACTTTGAAAGTTTATAAAAAGATTAGCATCCACTAGAATGTCAACCCATTAGAATCATTATTCAATAAATTTTCATACTACATATTTTTTATTGTGAAAAATTAGATTGTTTTCAATAAACTTGGTCAAACTACATAAAGTTTGACTTAGGAGCTAATATGGGGAGTAAATAAAGACAAAGGGAGTACTACTACTAGTAGTTTTGTACATGTGCATGCTTTTAGAAGTTTAACACTCTACAGACAGAAATCCATTTTGGCTCTAGGGAGCACATGCTGAGTGCCAAAAATGAATTTTACAAATATAAAAAAATGGAAACATAAAATGATGCGTTCATTGTCACACCCAAATGGTGATGTAAATTTTCAGGGAAGAACTTAAGCATTTTGACCTGTGAAACAAAACAAATCGAATTTCAAAGACTTAATTTTTTTTCCACCAACAAAGCACTGTTATCCCATATGACATGAAAATTGTCAAGCACACTTGCTACACTAATATGAACATCCACAAAAAAAAAACAGAATTCTAAAATTTATTTATGATTAGGGAGCATATGCTCCCCAGAGTCAAAAATCAGCGTGGCTCTGTACTTTGTTTGGGTTGTGTAAAGCTGCCAAATACTACTTCAATATGTTTTTTCTCGAAAAGCAAAATAAAGTTCATCCGCCAGACATGCATAGCTATCGGTCATCAGTGACGACCAAAGATGATCCGTGTGTGGTACCAAAATTTTTGTATTTGTCGCAGGCCACAACTTCCTATTGTAAGCTGTGAAAAAAAAATGTGAACAAGTGTGTCATACTAGGCAAAATATAGACCCTCGAATTATTCTAGTGTTGAGCTGGTCAGGCCTGACGAAGGAAGCTACCAAGAAACCGACCCGCTCCAGTACTCGCCGCCGGCCGCTCCGGCCTCGGCGACCACCCCAGCCCGTCCCCTCCTCCAGGCCATGGCCTCGCCCGCCCCCTCCGGCGGCCGTCCCCGCGCGCTGCGCTGGTTGGAGTCCAGCCCCTCCTCGGCGGAGGGGGGCTCCCCGCGCCGCCCTCCTCCCTCGTTTCGCGAGGTGCTCTGCTCCCCCTGCCCTGCGTCCCCCGCCTCAGCGCCCTTTCTTGGCGGTGACGCGCCCGCCCCCCGCGCCGGGCCGAGGTCCGAGATCCACCGGGTCCAGCGCGTGGACTCCCTTCCCGCCGACGGTGGCTGGGAGCTGCCGCGGTCCCGCAAGCGTCGGCTGGCCCGGCGGCGCCGACGCCCTTGACCTCGCCGCGACGGCCCTCGCCCGCCGCCCCCGCCTCCCTCCCAGGAGTGCCCTCGGTGCCTCGACCCCGCCCCGGACCACCGGCACTCTGAGTGCCGCCGCAACATGCAATGCCGTCGCTGCCGCTTCTTCGGGCATGTTGCCCGCCAGTGCATGCGTCCGTGCTCCCCAGCCTCCTCCTTCGACGCGTCCCTGACCAAGCGGCTCTGCGCCAGCTCTCCATCTCCCATCCATGCTGCTTCCGGCTCTTTTGGTGGTTCCCGGCCTGCGTCCTCCGGGTCCGGGTCCGCCACGCAATCGGCTGCCGCACCACTCCCCTCCTCGTCGCCTCGCCCTTCGTCGGATGCGCTGCCCTCTTCCACGTCGGCGTCGCGGTCCTCGGCCACACCCTCGCTGCCACGCGCTTCGCCTGCCTCCACTGACTCCCGTGTTTCCTTGATGTCGGGTCACCCTGCTCTCTGGCCGCCCGCTGCGGTCTGCTACCTGCTGCGTTCTCCGGCGGTCGCAGCTGCGGAGTTGGATCTTGAGCAGCGTGCCCTTCTGGCGGTGGTCGCGGGCGCTCGCTCCGGTGTCTCCCGTGCCGAGGTCCAGGCACTCCTCCAGGGCAGGTTCCATCTTGGGGAGGGCGCGCTCTCCGTCCACCCGCGCCGGGACGGCGAATTCCTCCTACGGTTCCGTGACACGGCTGACCGCACGCGCGTCGCCGCCGGGAACGTGAGCGGTCGCTTCCGGTTGCTGATCCTCCCTTGGAGCCGGCTGGCCGGGGGTGAGCCTGTGTCCGCGCGCTTCCACGTTCACATCGAGATGGTGGGCATCCCGGACCATGCCTGGGACCGCGCGTCGGCCGAGACGCTTCTCACGCCGTTCTGCGACATCGCCGAGCTTGCTCCGGAGACGGCGGACATGTCGGACATGTCGACCTTCTGCCTCTCCGCCTGGACTCTCAACCCCGACACCATCCCCCGCCTCTCCAAGCTGCTCCTCCCGACACCGGATGCGGCCTACGAGGACGCTGATCCCAACATGGTTACTCATTTTGGGCGCCCGCTCCTTCGTTTTCCTGTCTCCATCCACGTCTCTCGCTCCGAGGACTACAGGCTGCCTGCCGCGCCATCGTCACCGCCCAGCACCGGCAACGACGAGGCGTCCGCCCCTCCCTCGTCGCCGCCGGTGCCACCCCCATATCCGCGTCGGCATGACTTCCCCCAAGGTTCCGGCCGTGCCGCCCCGCGCCGCGGCAACCGCGAGGCCACACGTCGCCGCCACTTGCCGCCGCCGGCCCGCATCTGGTACGGCATGTTGGGGCCCTACCCCTCGGCCCGTACTGGTCCAGGTGGCCCCCCTGTGTTCAGTCGCGTGGTCTTTCCACCTCTGGACACGGCTGCCCCCCTGCTGCCCTTGGGCCCCTCCCCTGCTGCGTCTTTGGCCGCTTCCTCTCCTACGGGCCCTCCTACGTG